CCCACAGACAGAACCACGAGGCACTCTGTACCACATCCTGAAGCTTTTCAAGATGGACTGAGAGGACCACAATTACAGTTCCAGAAGCTTCTTAATCACATTGAGCTGCGTAGAAGCGTCGCTTAAAGCTGCAGATTAACAGATGCAACATTCATTCCGATTTAGGGGGCTTCCACCTAGATTAATCAGATTATTCAGAGCGGTGGTCAGGAGACTGCTTGCTTCACTTTGTGAAGTAGCTATGAACTATTAGCCAGCTGTTCTGCCCATCCTCTAACCTCCCCTCCTCCTTACTGGAAGCTCAGCTCCTAGCAGCACAGTGCTCAGTGCTGGTTGAGAACGCCGTGCTGTCACCATGATTGATTCAGATTTCAGATCATCACACTGCAGAAGTGAGAACAACCTTGCCCCTACAAGCTGCTAAAGAGGTTTCCTTCATGTTTCATGCTCCTCAGAAACCCTGGAGCACTAACACACACACACACCTGTGCTTACAGCACTCGCATCCAGTTCTGTATTCTCAATATTACAGCTATCTGCTTTCTAGGAGCAAATTCTCTCTAATACTTCTCCACTTGCACAGACCCACCAGAGCTCACACCACCCCAGCTCAGCTCCCTTCCACATCAGCCCTATCTCACACTGCATCACTCCCCCACCTATTTGAGCTCGCACACATCTCTGTTCCTTACTCAAGATACAAGCATTGAAGATGTAACACAGCCACAAAGCTGTACGGCCGTTCCTCCGAAGGCCAACATCCACATCCACGCACTACCAAATAAGAACCTGCAGGGCTGAACCTGCTGTGACCCTGAGCCCAGAACATTACCTACCATGTTCACTAAGGAAAATAAAAAGCCCTCAATACACCCAGGAGAGCCAATCTGTCCCACACATTCCAGTTCAGCATTTCAGAGGAATGTGCTTTATCCTGTGAACGCAGCAGCAATTACCGAGCAGCACAGATAAGGAGGCTCCTGTCAGCACTTTAGTTTCAGGGCTAGGTCTGCACTTTCAAAACCTGAGGCTGGAGGGTAAAGGTCATATTTACTGTACTCACAGGAGATAGAAATCAGCAGCTAAACACTCCATTTTGGGGCAGAAGGGGAATTCTAAAGAGAAAGGACCAATTTCTCCATTGAGAACCATTATCTAGCACACACAACAAGCACAGCTTGACATTTTAGCAGGGGAAAAGGGCTGTTCCTAAATGCAATAACATTCTCTTCTGACAGTTGATAATCAATGTCCAAATGCCAAGAGCTAAGTGCTGAGCTATAATAAAAGTTTTAATGCACATGAAACTAAATTACCTTCTGGACATGGTACCAGAAATAACCCCTTCAAGCTCAAGATCTACATTTGGCGAGGCTAAAATTAGGTCAAGATGCTGAGCAGTGTAAAAAGAGAGAAAAAGTGAGAAGTGCCTACCTTTGTACCAACTGTTATATCTTGGACAATGCTGTAGAAAAAAGAAAGAAAAGGATTAAAAAGTTAGATAGGTTTGCCACAAATATCCAGCATAGTTTACAGCAGTAAGAAAAAAAGCAAGTCAAAGTGCACAGTTGTCTTTGCAGGTGAGCCAAGGACAGTTCATACAAAGGAAAATTATTAGATGGTGATGGTGGAGACCCGAGACCCAGCAGTCCTAGGAAAATAAAAATGCAGCTCTTCCACTGCCCAGAATGGAACGTGTCCCTTTTTAAGCACAATGCTGTGGGGTTGAAACTGAGGACCCCAGGCTGCACAACTCCAGCATTCTCCCTTCACAGCAATGCAGTGTGATGAGAACGCAGCCTTTGACCAAACCAAGGGCAGAAGTGTCAAGAGTCAGCTCCATCACCAACAGTCACCTCCACCATGCTTAAAAACCTGACACTGGAGGAGTAACCTCCCCTGCTCTGTAAAGAAACCCTCCCTTAACTTTGAAGGAGCAGTCAGCTCAGCACTGAGGACCAGCAGCACTCAGAGCTATTGGTGCTCACAGCCCAGCTCCACGTGAGCACAGCCAGGCAGCTCCCAGCCTAACACAGCAGAAGGAAAAAACAACTCTATCACGGATGCTTAAGCTTTTAAAGTGAGAATTTCAGATTAACTGATCAACGTGAACAGTAACATAGCTGGACGCCAAGCCATTGGGGCTAGCTCTTGTCAGCAGCACACATCACTGCCATGAACACCACAGACTGGGATCAGCCTGTCACACTGCACCCCAGGAACCTTCCAGAGCATCACCACACCTGGATGTTATTTCCAGTGGGCGCGCTCCAGGCAGGCAGAGGATTTCAATTACCCCCTTGCACTGAAGATTTTTACTTATTTTTATAAATAAAATCCAACTCGTGGTAAAGCAGCAACGTAACACAGCTGAGATAGGAGCACCACCTGCAGCACCACCCATTTCAGCTCCTATCTTTCAAACAGGATCGCTGACAAAGTCCAAACGTCCAGGGCAGAGGACCCAGCATGGCTAGCTGCAGCCAGGAAGGACACACAGCACTAACAGAGAGCACTGCAGTCATTCTTACAACAACATGAAATCTGAAGTGTTCAAGAACACCACTCAAACCTCAGCCAATAACAGCAGAAAACTTACAGACCTGTTCTTCCTTCCCTGCCCTTCTGCACCGCTTCATCTTTTAGGGAATTAAGTACTGCTCCATCTTATTATTAAGCCATTCCCATCTCCCCAGCTCCACAAATGAGCTGTCACGCACGCCCAGGCCAGCTCAGCTCCTCACACTTCCTCCTCCAACCCAACCTGCCATGTCATCACACCGCAGCAGTTTGCAGCTGGAGCTGCAGCCTGGCAGGGGTTGGGATTCTCCAGGCTCTGCCCAGGTTCAGACGGGTTCTGCTGCACTGCGAGGGCCACCACTAGCGAGCAAATCACACCCACCTGGACGTATCAGCTTAGAGAATCATTCTCCAGCAACTGCTACATATGCTATGAGTATACATTTCTTCCATTAAAATACATGCATTGACCCACGGGTTTCAGTCATTAAGGTATTTCCAGCAAAGTGCATTACGAAGAAGGAATCTCTCCAGTTTCCAAAACTCTCAGCCTTACCCCCAGCAACTGCTCCTGCTTCCTGTTCCTCCTGCGGGCCTCAGGCACAGGAAATGTTTTACATAAAGTCGCCTTAGCAGGGGACAGCCTTTACAATTATCCAACAGGAAAAGCTTTCACATGCCAAGCACTACTGAGCCCAGAATTGCAACCCATGTGATAAACTGCACAGAACTAGCAGCAGCACTGATCTATTTTTCATTAAATGTGATATTTTGTTTCTCCTGCACATTATATCTTCAGCTGCGTTGTTATCACCTAACAAGCTCCAATATGGGATTCATAGTTCACTTCCTAGAAGAGCTGGCAATACAACCTGTAATGAAGTTACTCTTAACATAAAATGAAATGATTCCTGCACTAACAGATAAGAGATTAAGAACCAGGGCAAAACCTGAATCCCTTCCCAAACAGCCTTTCCATACAAACTCCCTGCATGCAGTAAGAATCAACCAGACACCAAACCAGGCATCACTTCGGGTAGGAGAAATCACAGCTCTGCTGAGGGCACACAGTGCCAGCCAGAGGAGCTGCTCAAACTCTAACAGGCGACAGCCTTCTTGGGGTAAGCAGATCACACAGAGATCTTCCATAGGCCAGGAATAATTCAGACACGTAAATTAGAAGCTATTGTAACATATGCAGCAAAACAGCTTTCCCAACTGCATGTACTGTAAGATACAGTTTTGGGATGTGGTATTCGTTGGTTTTTTTTTTTTGTTGTTTTGTTTTTAATGAAAATAGACGTTATTTCAGTGTAAAGAGCACACTACATCCCAAGCCACGCGATGCACGAGGCTCTGGGAGCACAAACTGCTTTTTGGGGGCTCTGGGAAGAACCGCAGCTCAACACCGCGCTCAGCAAGGAACGAGGATCGGATCAGCAGGAAAACACAGTTAGCTTTAAAGCAAACACGGCTGTAACGGGGGAATCCTCGGAGCAAAACCAGCGGGGCAGAGAGTTCCGTGCCAAAGGATCTGAAAAACGAAAAGCCGAACCCGTGGCTCTGCACCCCCTCCCTCCCCACATCTCAGAAGGGTTTCAGTTGCCTTTACTTCCACGTAGAGCGTCTCCGCGCTCCCACATCTCCTCCACGCCCCGCAGTCGCCCACAAACACGGGAAGCCCCGCGCCTTTCCCCGCTGCGGACAATGGGAGCGAATCAGCCGCAAGCGCGCCCCCGCCGCCAGGTGCGCGCTCCCGTCTTCAGGTGCGCCCGCTCCCGCCACCCCCCTCCCCCCTCCACACACACACGCACACGCGCGCGGGGACGCGCTCCAGCCCCTCACGCCCACGCGGCGCCGCCGGGCCCCCCGCACCCAGCGGGGCGGAGCCGCCGCTCCCACCTCCGGGCACGGAGCGGTGCGGCGCTAAGCGCGGCCTTCCCGAACCCCGCAACCGTGGCCGTCTGTTGGGAGTGGGGGAGAGGGGACCCTCAGTGCGGCTCTCGCCCCCCACAGCCGCTCCTCGTCCGGTGGCAAAGAACCCCCGCCTCTGCACCCCCCGGCTCCGGCTCCTTCCCCTCCCCTCGCGGTCCGACCGCGCCCACGGTGCCCCCTCCCCCCCTCCCGGTACCGCCCCAGCCCCCGGCGCGGTACCACAACTCGATCCCTTCCTTCGGACCCCGGGAGGGATCCCGTAACGCTCCCCGCGGTCCCTTGGAGCGGCTACCGGCGCAGCCCCGCCCGCGCCGGCCGAGACTCACCCGTCCATTGCACACGGAGGAGACCCGCAGGGAACGGAGTGGAGACGCCGGAATAACAGGAACGAGCCCGACCGCTCCGTGTTATAGACTCACAAAATGGCGGCGCCACCCGGCCCGCCTCACCCGCGCCAGTATCCCATTGGCTACTGGAGATGTCATCTTGATGGACGGGGCGGGGATTGCCCTCCTCCGGAGGTTGGCGCCCTGGAGCTTCTCCACGCGCCTATTGGCTGCGGGCGGGGCGAGGGGCGGTTCTCAGCCCCAGTGTGTGGCGCGATTGGATAGGCTCCGGGACACGGCTGGGAGGAGCCATCTTGAGAGCGGGAAGGATGTCGAAATGCCACACGCGTCCGCCATCTTGATTGGGGGCAGGGCATGAAATAACCTCATCGGGAGCCATCTTGAGTACGGGCAAGGGCGCCAACGCGCACATTGCGTTATCATCCGTGGCGCGGCCCGGCGCCTTGCAGCCTCCTGCGCGGAGAGCGGCCGCTGCCATCTTGGCTACGGGTAGAGAAGCCGCGCACTGCTGTCAGCCGCCATCTCGAGTAAGGGAGACTCGATCAGTTGGGGGGCTGATGAAGTTAGACAACACTTAGGAGGTGTTTTTTTCTTAAAATCTAGGGTAAAATCTGCTCGTTTATTTGCGGGTTATGTCTTAAGGATAAGGATTATGTAGAGAGGGAGTGCCTGAGGTAAGGCTGTGCTGCCTGAGGCGGCGACCCCCTCAGGTGCAGCTCTGGCAACGTTTGCTGACAGAAACACCTCTTTTCCAGTCAGTGATTACTTAGATAAGCGTGCTTCGTGCTGAATGTGTGCAATTGCTGCATATCTCCCAGAGGCTAAGGTAAAAATCTGCGCTTTTCCAAACTTCTAAAAGCAGTACCTTTGCAGGTGCTGGGTCAGCTACAGCGAGTTTATATGCAATGCAAACATATGGATATGTTAACCATAACCATCCACCTCCTCTGCATGCCAAGAGATGCGGATCCTTTAAAATCATTGAGAAAAAGGAGCAGCTGGGAGCATCCCTGTGGTTCAGGTGGTCCCAGCAGGCTGAGCAGTGCTCACCCCACAGCACTCCCACCTGGCAGCCCTGAGCTGCTCCTCCTGCTCACGCCATGTGGATGAAAGGCTGCATGTTTCTGTTTAAATATAGCCAATATTTGCTCGCTGGGAATTCTACCAGCTTTATTTATTGTCTTTGCCTTGCTTGTCATAACCTTATCCTTTGACTGCAGCACAAAAATTAATTGTCCCAGGCCTCCCTACGAGTCCCTTGTGTAGCACTGAATCAAATATCTAACGTTCGGTCGACATTGATCTTGGCTTCATTAGCTGCAGCCCTGTTTTGAGTGTTTCTAGGCAACATAATACTGGTCTTGCTGCAGAAAGGATCCCTCATCCCTCACTCGCACACCCACTGCTGACATTTTTGTGAAAACATTTGTACACATCTGCCAATCTTGCCTCTGTTGTCAGCAGTAAACAAACACATGGATGGAAGCATAGGAGCTGTAACACAACGGTGTCTGTGGCACCTGCAAAGGGTTTGGGCGAAGATTTAAAAGTGCAGATGAAACATGGAGTCGTGTCCTTGGGCAGCGCTTCTGTTTAATGCTAGGTAGTTCTGACAGGTATGGGCATGCCTTCTGCGTTCTCATTTCCTTCTGAAGCATACACTAGACAGGTAACTATAGGAGAAAGAAAGAAAAAACAAACCAACATTCAAAATGTGAAGCCAGCTGTAAGTTTTTCTTGAATACGTATTCCTGTGTTGGTTCTTATAGCCCAGAGCCCTGTTTTCTCATAGAGCGGTGGGATGCTTCGCTTGTCAGCTCACTCTTGGCACCGTCTGTGACACGCAAGAGCTCCCAATGAGCTCAGATTTTATCAAGAGCTTCGTCGGGCTCCCAGCCATTTGCCCTTTGCTGCAACAGTAAAGTTCAAAATGGAGAAGAGTTATGTTCTTCCCTATTACTACAGGCGACCAAAGGCCCCTTCTGAAATGCAAGTTAATTTGCTAGGCGCTGCATATGAAAGGAAGCTTAGCTTGTGCCACTGATAAGAGATTTACAACTTAGATGAGTCAGAGAAGGGGAAAATGATGGGATTGTGTGATTTGCTTTAGAGTCGTTGAGCTGAGAGCCAGAGAGTTAAACCTGATTTGATCAAAGCAGAGCAGGAATTTGATTCCTGCCTCACAAACCATAACACACTTTCTCCAACTGTGCCTATTTTAAGCTGTGTTTCACATGGAAGAGTTTCATTTCTTATTATCTAACATCTCACTTTCTGGTGGCTGTTGAAATTAGTTTATTGCAAGTGCAGATATTCCAGCTGCTTTTCAGATATCTTTGGAAAAGCAAACATGGGTGGATGCCATCAAGGGTTTATTATATTTCAAAGACCTCTGGTGCAGTTGTGGCCTAACTAAAAAAACTGTTCAAATTTGTGCAAGCTTACTCAGATTCTCTAGCAGAAATGCTGATGATGCAGCCTTTTATCATCTTACTGTAATACTTAACTGAAACTCCAGTATCTTTTTTGACACAATGGTAGCAAACTGACTAAGGATGCTATTGTGTAACGCGGCATTTCTCTGGGCCAAACAGGAAAACGCATTTGAGAACAAGATAATACCTTATGAAGAAAAAAAAAACCCCAAAACCAAACAACGCCAGTATCTGGGAGAATGACCTGACTGTATCTTTTTGTTTTGAAAAAGAAGCCCACGTGAAAATAGCCACGTGAGAAAGAAAAAGAGGAAAAGAGAAAAAAGAAAAGAGGAGGAGAAGGAAAAAAATATGAATCAGCCTCTTTGGTAGAATCCAGCACAAGGTCCCACCCTCCCCCAGCTCCAGTTACTCACATGGCCAGAAAGGCCTTGGAGAGGCACACCCAGGTTTTTCTCTTTCTGAGCCCTTCCTGCCCACGTTATCTGCCCGAGTTTAATCTACCACGCTGGGAAGAGAACCCTCTGAAATGAAAAGGACCTTTTTCCTGCCTTTTTTTCTTTGTGTTTTTAAATAGCCCTGCAGCCTGTGCTACGGTCACAGGATGCTTTTCTGTGTAACTGTATTCTTGGCAAACTAGAAAGCTTTTTCCCTCTTCTGCTGACTGCTAAATCCTGCCCTTCTATCAGTGAACTGAAAACAGGAACCCTCCAAAAATGTGGTCTCTGATGAGGAAAATGAACTGTCTGTAGTGTATATCCTGGATAGTGCTTCAATGACAAAACATTCCTTTCCTGCACCCTCCTCTCCCTTTTTATTCTCAGTACCTTGCAAACTTCTAAACCAGGAAACACTTTCATTTATAACTCTGCTATAGTATAGCCCCAATGCAATCTGGAGTGGCAGGGGATGTTTCAAATAACTTGGTTTCTTTTTGTTGCTCTTATTTCTTTTAAGCCACTTTCAATTAACACGGCTGTTTTGTTTGAAAGAATATTTGCAGCTTTAGCAACATCTTGGGATGCCAAGAACATTCTTATGTGCATCATTCACGATGCCACATCACAGCCCTGGAAATGGTTAGGCTGGAGCTAGAAGAGAAAGAGCAATCTCACTGCTGTGTTCATCACTCCAAAATAAGACCTGTGTGTCTGCTGATCAGCCTGAGGAATGGAGAGGAAGGGGGACCAGCAGCACTGCAGGACAGGAGTTACAAGCTGCACAGGCAGAGAGCTGGGTTACTGGAGGAAGAGGGGTGAGCACACAAGCTGTGCTGGCTCGGTGCTGAGGTCGTTTCCTAACGGTAGGCTTTCAGTTTTACCAGCAGCATTCATCATTAGCAAAGGAAGTATTTTTTCCACTGATCCAGAAGAGTTTGGCACTGTAGAGTTATCAAAAAGGGGACCAGTTGGTAGGTGATTGATGCACTGTTTTGGAATTGAGCTTTATATATTTTCAATATTAGACAGGAAAAAAAAAAGTTTCAAAGCAGCTCGAGCTGCAAAACTGAATGTTGTGTTTGCTGTGCCACACAGCAATCTGATGCTTCCCTTCCAAGGACAGAGATGGTTAGCACTTTGCAAGCAATTTTATCTGCACATGAAACTTCTCATTAGTGCTGCCATTTTACAATATCCCCCATTCAGCAGCACTGGAACCGTCTGTCCCCTGGTTTGGTTTTGTGCTGCAAGTATTTACACCAAATTAAAATTGCAAGAATAACACAAAATCTGAATTTTTGCCTTTCTTGCCTCCTTGCTAACGAATGACAAAATGAAAGACTTATCTGTACGTGTTACGCTGTTATCAGCTCGTGTTATTTCAGAACTTCCCTGTCTTCGCTGTTCCTCGCAGTTGCTTTCGGGTGACTCATTTCCTGTGAGGGATGAACCAGCCATTTCCTGGCTGTTGAGTGCATTGGGCTTTTTTATTTCTTCCAGCCTGTGTCGGAGTGGATTCATGTCTGGTTTGGTGATGCCCCCTTCTAATTTACCCCCAGAACCGCACACAAGATGCTAGAGGCACAGGTCGGTTTCTGCCCTGTTTGTGTGCCCACATCATTTCAGCTCTTTCCTCCAACCGGTGTTTCCAATTTCCTGAGCCACTATTTATTCATATTTCCCAGTGTGATTCTGACTGTTGTGGACAGCTTGATTCAACGGTGTCACCGAGCTAAGAAGAACATCTGATCATTGTAGCTGTAGCCAGGCTGAAGTACCTCAGCTCTTTCATGCACCTTTTTACTGTTCTGTTGTTGTTTTTTTTACTAAATTATTCTTCTAATCTAATTTCCCAAGATTTCATTTGAATATTTAGATTCATTAGCCTGTCGTACCATTTGTAATTTGGGGGGATAAAAACCCACACAGTGAGGATTCTGCCTCTCGAGTCTGAATGTAGCACATGCTGTGGGGATGCTCACTGAATAATTCATACCCTTGATGATTTATTCATGCCCAGAAGCTGGATACCTCCACTGTGACTTTCCATTAGCTCAAAGAGAATGCAGGTTCCTATTCAATTGTACCACGCTTAAAAGCACGAGTAGCAGCCCTCGCATTAGCACACAAGGCATGGGATCTTGGGCAAATAGAGCAGGGGTGCATTTAAAACCTCTCCCTTATCTTTTTTTTTTTCCAAAATGTTTCTGCTCAGCAACAAATGGTGAACTCCTGCCATTCCAGTGCTGTGCGTGTCACACCGAGACAGGAACTGAAATACAGGTGGATGTCCTTGCGAGTTCTTCAGCAGGGAAGGCTGGTGAATGAGCGCTCACAGCCCTCCTCCAGTGGTACCCAAACAAAACGAGATGCTGTGGCCATGATGTACAACAGTCTGAGCGTGGAGGGTGGACAAACAGGCCGTGGCTGTGTGATTTGATGCAGCAGAGCTGATCCTCTTCTCCACAAGAAAATGCGGTCTTATTTCCCACTGTAATTGTTATGGATTCTGAAACAGTTGGTGCAGATGCAGTGAGATTGTTCCTCGCCTCCTCAGGAAGCCCTGCAGGAAAGCTTGGACACAAAGCAACAGTTCAGACTGATCTCCTTGCAGTGCCATCAAAAATGCACCTTTAGTAAAACAGTGCAGATCTGAGGCTCCTGACCTGGGGGAGGATTCTGCAAGATGCTCAAATTCCATTTGTCTCGAAAGTAGGAAAGATGATCCCATATTTCAGCAAAGTCTCCAGGCCCACAGGCAACAATATCCCTAGCTGGCCGCTGTGAAATTTCCTAATTGTTCACCCTGTAATCCTGACTTCTTTTGTCCTTGAATAGGCTCTACATCAGCATAATTAAAAATGTCAAACATGCTTGAGAAACTCTCCAAGTTGCTAAAAATGAATGTGAATTTCCTCTCCACAACCTCGCTTCATCTTTCCCTTACTCTGGCCTCAGCCTTACAAAGTGGTCTGTTTCCAGCCCTTCAGCATAGTTTGCATTCCACTGCCAAGAATGAACATTTATTTATACAAACAACCATCCTTACAAGCACATCTCCCTGTGCTATCCCAGGGCAGTGAAATAAACTTCATTTCTGTCCTCTGCTGTGTTGTTGAAGTTCTGTATTTCTTTTCTTTATTCAGAGCCTTCTTGTTTTTTTTTTTTTCTCAATAAAAGTTTGGTGCAGTTCAATCACCTTCCATGCTACAAATCTGTTCAGAACGAGACCGGCGTGCTCTTCTATTTCCTTACAAGGATTTTATTTTATTGTGCTCTAATGATGGTGCCAGTTTCCTGATAAACCACCCAGGGGGTCTCGATGGCTCGGCAAGCAGGGTTTAAAGAGATCTCACTCGTGTGGGAACTCGGAGGGCTTTGTGTAACTCAGAACTGCAAGTCCAAGTGCCTGCTTGTCTCACTGCTGCTTGGGAACCTGGTTCTCCCAGCTCCATTACTGGGCTGCTGCATGACACTGATTCTTCCATCAGCACAGGTGACGCTGTAAAAGGGATCAGTGGTAAAAGAAACAGCAGCTACCAGGTGAGCAGCGTGGTAACAGACTCCTGTGGCAGGGGAGCCTGAAGCTCATGCATTATTTCTGAAAGCTCTCCATTGCTCACCTGCCAGGCTGAGGTATTGTTCGATGAAATGCTAGCTCATCACCTCTGTCCTCTGTCGTCAGGCTGTCTCCCATTGCATCTGCTGTATAAATGGATATAACACAGATGTTAGATGACTCCAGACGAGGGAATTTCAGACTCTGAGCGCAGTTCATTTAAATGAAAAAAAAAAAAAAAAGGAGCCCTAAAAGAGATAGAGAGGCACACAGAGAGCATCTTGAACATCTCCATTAGATGTATACATCTGCAAACCGCTGCTCACTTACTGTAAGCGTGCCAGATTTGTCTGTGCGAGAGCCAGCTTCCCTTCTCAGCTGATGTAATTGTTTGTAACTAGGAGTAATATTTAGATTGATCATATTTACAATTACCTCCACCAGGGAATAAGACAGAGTGATTTTCCAGGGAAATCTCTCATTGGCATTTTGAGGTAAGGGAGAAACAAGTGACCCCCAAAGAACATGGAATAGCCCAAGGGGAGAAATGCAGAGACACGGCTCTGTTTTGGAACTGCCACAACCATGCTTCCTCTCCCCCTTCCCTCGCATTCCTTTTGAGGTCCCAGATGCAGTTTATAGGTGCTTCAGCAGCACAGCTGAATTAAAGCACTTTTTTCCACATCAGTTCAAGAACAAATATTTCCAAATACATCTGAAGAAGTAATGGGGCTGACATCAGACTGCTGCATGCCTGCCATGAGGCCCGCATTGTCATACAGGCTAATAAAGACATCATTTTCCCAGGGCTTCAGCTCTATTAAGCACAGAGCTCCAAATGATTTCCTACTTGGATCAAAGATGTGTTTGTTTCAGTGCCACTTAAGTTTAAAAGGCAATACTGGGAATGAATGAAATCTCCCCAGTGGCAGCTGCTGAGGTTCAATGGGTTTGTCAGTGCCATAATTATGCAGCGGACGTCTTCTGTTTGCTGGCCCATATGTTCCTGGAGGATGTTATGTAATGGAAGCAGCACAGCAAAGCCTTGCTCCAGGGCTGAGGGGTTTTGCTTTTGTGCTAGGAGGACTTGCTTATGTTTCCAATGGCAAAAAAAAAATGGGAAGAAATGTTCTGATCTCAGACCAGCGTGGGTCTTATTTGCTCAAAGTAGATGGAAGTGTACAAATAGAAGCAGTCACCTACGTCCAGTGTCCTCAAACCAGACTTTTAACAGGGAGACTGGCTACTTACTGTTATTATTTACATACATACTAGTTACAGCTGCTCTCTGCAAGTCCATGCTCCACCTAGCTAATGTTAGGAGTGGTCACTGTGATCAGTGGCACTTTGCTATGATGCTAAGAATAGATGTGGCTTCTTGTCCTGCTGCTCTGCCCACAGCACTTCTTTGTCACCTTTAGGTCTGGGTGCTGATGAGAAATGTCTGCTCATTAAGCAGCTCTCTCGTTGTCTAGTCGATTGTACACCACATTTTCTGTGTAACAGACGTGAGAGTGGACTGAGATCTCCAGGGTGTTAAAACAAGCATCAAAAGAACATCGAGACATGAACCTGCAAAACGTGAAGTCGGGGAGGATCAAGAGAGCTCAAGTTCTCTGTTGCCAAAGAAACAAAGGAACACGATATCCTCTAGGATGTTTCATATTTAATTGGGTGAGATGCTCAGACGCGGGGGCAGTGAATGCAGTGCAGTGACAGCACTGTACCAGCAGTGCCTCGTGTCAGCTGGTTTGCAGAACCTTATGCACAGCTACCTGTGCCTTCTCTAAACATCACCTCTCGATGTGTGTTCTCCTTAAAAGCACTGCATCAACACAGAAGAGACTCCTGACGACTGGGCCATTTGGAAAGGAAGGAGCAGAGGCATATCTTGAGCACTGGAGATCTGTACTGACTTAATTCTGCCTTTCACGCTGCAAGCAGCTGAAGTCAACTTCAACTGAGACATTCTTCCTACGTAGCCAAGTATAGTTTAGAGGGACAGCTGTAGGTGCTCTCTCGCATTAAGGACCAGGCTTACAAATAAGTATCTAACTTCACTTATTGAGAAGATACTTAATCTCAGTGTGTTACTTCTGCAACAATGTAAGACAGCTAGCAAGATTTGCCCTGCTGAGCTTTGCCTGAGCGCTGCGGTCAGCAGAGGAGCAAAAAGGCTGTAATGCAAACACAGGAGCAGGGCTGTGGCTGTAACCCAGTGCTCACAGCCAGGCCTACGTCCCCAGAAGCACAGCACAGACAGCTGTTTGAGGAGCATATTTAGGCTGCAGGAAAGCAACAGCCTCGGTGATTTTCTCAGACATGTTAACTGATGCCTGAGTCAGCTGAGAGCACGCACTGGAAGATCCAGTAAGAGACAGCTGGTTTATGGTTATGGGCTTGGAGAGATTTCCAAATTGTGACAATTACAGCACAGAACCCAGACCTGAACTCACTCATTACCTCTTTTTTTATCTTTCTTTCTTGAATTTAGAGAACAGACTTAATTATTTGTTCTTGCTCACACTTTGGAAAGAGTGTTATCACTGCTGCAGGACAAAGGTTGGCAAGCTCTTACGGATGCTATGCCAGAGTGTATTTCTCTTTTCCAAATTAGTGGTTAGGTGTGTCAGTGCTGGTTTTGCTGTCTCTCCAGAGGCAAGATGCCATCCACCTGTGGTATTTTTCACCTGTGAGACTCAGCTCCTGCTGAATGCAGCACTTGGGTGGGAGACAGAAACTGGGAGCTGCTGCCTGTTAGGGTGCTTCTCCAGATGATGCTGATGCCAGCTTCTGCCTCAAGATGCCACTCAGGAGTGACTGCAGACTCAGCTCTCGGGGCAGAGAACCTTCTATTCGTTTCTATTCCACACAAAGGATCTTCAAGTTGCTTTAAGATCACTTTTCTAAATAACTAATATGTTCTTTCTCTCTCTTATTCCAGGCTACCCTGTCCTCTGAGTGCTGGTGAGGTCCTTGTCTTCCCTCCCTAGATTGCACTGCTCTGTGAGAAGCTTCCTGAAGCACCTCCAGAGACCCAGGAGGAGGTAAGGGACACAGTGACACTTCAAAGACAACAGCAGAAAATCCTGCCAGAGCAAAAGCTTCTGTGGTGGGAATTCTGCTTCCAGGAGCCACAGCAATTTAGTATCACATCCAAAGCAAACCTTCATAAACACCTGAGGTGCAAAAATGGGAATTAGCTCTTTGCCTGTTGCTAGCAAAACTGACTTTGCACCTACCCCCATACTGAGTCAGCACAGATCCAAAGTGCTTCCAAAAAGGTGAAATCCTCAAGCCTGGAAAAGAGTTAAGGTGTCAGTAGTTGAAATCATTCCCTACTGCTACATATATACATATGTATATATATAGGTTAGTATGTCTCATTGCGAACAATTAGGTCTAATTACAAGTCACGGTTTCACCACAAATATCATTTAATAACAATTTTTCTACCGCATTTCATGCAGAGTGTTTTATGAAGCATTTACCCCCTGCTTGTGGTTAGGCAATGTGTGATGCAGAACAGATGAAAAAGCGTTTGGGTTAAGGTCAAATCAAATGCACAGGTCAGCGCTGGGAACTTTGGGTGATGCTCCTTCCAGCCAACAGCACTGCAGGTTTCTCTTTAGTTCAGTAGATGTTAGGAAATGCGCCTTTATAACTTCAGCTAAAAAGACTGTCCAGAAATAGATAAAACTGCAATGAACATCAACCACGGAACAGAAGAGAAGCAAGTTCCTTCTAGCAGATTGACAAATGGGATGTTAATATTAAATCCTAAAAAAAATAACGGAGAGAACAGACGCTGAAAGCACTGAAGATACACTAACAGCCTTATCGCTGATGCGAGGGCTGCGCACGGGGAGGTGCTCAGCTGAGCAGCACCACCAGTCAGCACTGCGCAGCGCTGTATTTTCAGCAGCAAGACGGCCGGCTTCCTTCGAGTCAGCACATCGAGTGCAGAGAATCGTGGAGTCATTTGAGGCGGGAAAGACCTTGGAGATCATCACCTCCAAGCACCAGCCTGACCTCCCGCAGCCCAGCACTGCGACCGCCCCCGAGCGCCATTGCTGTCAGCGCCCTTCTCGCCTGCTGGGCAATCGAGCAGGGGGAGCCGTGATGGTGGGCGGGGCCACTGCGGTGGGCGGGGCACGTCGATGGGAAGGACAGTATTGATTGGCGCTGCCACTGCGGTGGGCGGGGAACGTCGATGGAAGGGACGGTGTTGATTGGCGGGGAGGCGGAGGTGGGCGGGGACTTGACGGTGGGCGGGGCGCAAAGCTCATCCCGGCGGGCGAGCGCCCTCTGGCGGGGCCGCGCCGTGAGTCCGCTCCCTGCAGAAGAGGCGGGGAGGAGCGCAGGTAATGGCTGTGGCGTGCGCAGGCTTCGTGAAATGGTGAGGGTTAGAATCGTCGTAGGAAATTACCATAGACGATGATGTTACCACATGACTAGTGAAGCTCGAGCTTCCTGAAAAATACCGCAAAGAGTGAGGCGAACAGCTACAAGAATGGAAAACTTGTACAAACACCTTCTTGCCAACAGACATCCTCTCCTGTTAATTAAGTGAAAGATTATTTTAACACAATCGGCTGCTGGGGAATAGAGCAATTTCCCACAGTCTGCTCCCTGCTGACACAATGGGGCACTCACCCCTAGCGCAGGTCTGGAAGGAAAAAAAAAAAAAAGAAAAGAAAAGAAAAAAGGAAAAATAAATCAGCCTACATGTAGAATAGTTATGGAAAATAACAGCCCCCTCCCCCCTGATGGCACTCATTCTAAGTGTGAGGCTGCTCACAAATGGCAGCACTAACAGGATAAGCAACACAATTGTGATCGATGCTGTAGCATTTTCCACCCAAGTAACAGATTTGCCCTATTCCAAATTCAGCTTTTACTTTTTTTTTTTTTTTTTTTGCCTATTTATAGCAGTTCGTGTTTTAAAATTAATTTTTTCCTTTACTACATCTGTTTTTAGAGGCTGATTACTGCTTGTTGGAGCAGGCGAGCCATTGCCAGCTGGCTGCAGGCTTTTATTGGCTCTGTTTGAAGAAGACTTGATTTAGAGCTCACAGTTCTGTTACAAGGACGGCAGCCATGTAATGCAGACCCTCAAGAGAAGACATAATTAGGACTCGGATGAAAAAATGTGTCCAGTTCTTTGGACCAAAAAGCTCTTGTTTAAGGAATGTGGTTTACTGTATGCTAACATTTAACATTTAACTCTGAGGGCTGGTTCGTGCAGTCAGCTCCGGCCCTCTCTCACACAGCTGGATGTTGCTTTCTCTCAAAATACAGACATGCCACCCTGTAGCAAGTACAAAGTATCTCGGGAACTGCATTTCTGCAAGCAGGGAAGGAGAGGTGGAGCAGAACAGAGCAGAAGCGCTGAGAAGGCCGTGGCACATTGCGGGGAGGAAAGGAACAAACGTGGCAGAGAACAGGAAGAACGATGTGCTGGGAAATGATTAATCCACCCCAAAGGCCCTCGCTAAGAAGTTGTGGGACAAGTTCAATGGTTTTTGGCAGCCACGAGCAATTTCTCCTCCACTCTCGGCCCCCTGCTTGCTCCTTTCAAGCCGACGTGCTCAAGCACAACTTCCTCTCGCTGCTGTCCCTCCAGCAGCGTCCCTCACCCCTTCTCTGCAGCTCTCTGGCAGCCCATCCCCTCCTCTATGCATGTTTTACAGCTGTCCTGTGTCCCTCCACCTCCAATAAGTGTTACTCAAGCAAGCAGGAACAAACAACCCATGCTGGGGGAGGGGGTGGGAGCCAAGTTTAAGAACTGCTGCTCTGTATCCTGTTTTTCAACCGGGATTGTTCCAGTTTCCTGCACTGTCTTATCTAGAGCTGAAAAGCCAAAGCTCTCATATTTACTTGCTTTGTGCATGCCTCAGCTTTCTAATCTGTGAAACAGACCTTATGAGACATAAGAGAAACACATCCAGGACTATTACAGGGTGGAGGGACAGGAACAGCGTGGTTAAAGGGCTTCCAGTGTCTGTACAATTAGGCTCTTTATTTAGTTCTCCTGCTTGCATAAGCCTGCGTACATCACAGAGAGTTTCAGACAACCACCCCCATCCTGTAGTGCTGCATGGAGTTCATGGAAATGTAAAAGGGTAAAGCATGGATATTTATGTCAGGTGATTCTGGGTAGCAACCTTACTAAAGAACTGTTCTCAGAAAGGACTGAATCTTTTCCCCACAACACAAACTAGGCACAGGAAAGTCTTAAATAGGAAGCAGCATTTCAATGCTTGTAGTCAGCTTTAAGGGCTCCACTGAAATGCTGCAGGCTTCTTTAAAATACCTGACCACGTTTTTGTTGTTTAATCCATAGAGAAAATAAGCATATATTGCCTTAGCATCTTGAAAGCTTACCGGTGCGGGGCCACGAGAGAGCAAAACAACTTTTTGTTCCCCTTCTTTCTCCTGGTGAGCATGAATTCACGTAACTGCAGGTTCCATTAATGCAGTGATTTCCCTATGGGTTAAAAGCAAACAAACATTCCCTGCACAGCTCTGGAATTTCCTGCTTTTCTGCACGAAGGTGTGGGTTCCACATACAAACCCCAAGCTCTGAGCCCCTTCCCCACACAGAGCCTGTTGTTGTTGGAAGCAGGTAGTGCTGTAAACACATTTTTCCCCCTTTCTTTAATTCCCCCCTTTTTGCTCAGTTCTAACAGTAAATTCAGTCTTCCTCCACTTTACAGCTTCTTTGGAGGTGCTCTCAACCAATGTAAATAAGAAAGCAGGGCTGGGCTGAAGAAGTACCCTCATATGATTACCAGAGTTTTTATTTGGACCTAAATCTGAAGAGAAAAAAAGGCTTTTTCAGTGAGATCAGGAAAAGGAAGACGTGTGCTTGGAGATAAGGAGAGATAAAAGCATTCCAATTAAGGGCTCCCATGATAGAAATCAAGATGATCATCTGCCAACTCAGTAACTTCATGGCCTTGTGACCACGCACAGCTTCCATTTCTGTTACCTTTTCCCACACTGGGTAAGGGCCAAAGTGATGCATGGAAATTCTTTGTTTGCCCAAGCTGTCCTGCCCCCTGGGGACGAGTTACACACGCTGAGCTCCAAGATAAAGCTCTAACTTCAGAAAGAGCAAAACAGTTCTCCCAGAGCTTAGTTCAGCTTTTAATGGGCAGACGGAGGCTGAGGAGCACTGCGGGGAGCTGCCCAGTCCACTACTTTAAAGCAAGCAGATTTCTGTTAGAAAATTCCTTAAAAATCCTGGCTTTGCACATTTCACAGGCTTGCATCTGCAAACAGCACTGATAATTTTAGCCCAGAATGCTTTGCTATCAATAGGAAGCCTTAAAAAGGAACGCATGGATTGATGCTCGTGTAAAGAGCAGGAGGCTTTGCAGAGCTTTGCTGACATGCACCGATTTCACTCCAAGCTGCAGTGGTTCTGATGCCTGCTGCTCATTCCTTACTGGGATGTAAAGCTGACCTGACCAGAAAGATTCGAGCTGTGCTGTTCTTGCTGAAAGGGACATTCAGTGCCACCATCCATCACCTGAGCTTAGAGAGAACTTTTCAGCTTGTGCTTTGCCTAATTAGGATAAAGAAAACCTGTTAATTGTTCCGCAGGTGTTTGTTATTGCCTGGTTCAAGAGAACTCCCTCATGCTGAGCAGTTCAGAAGTCCACACCGCTTTGATGGCCGTTTGTTTTCCTTCCTCTTAGAACAATTACGCTTTTGCCTGAACATTTTGCATGCTTACTCACTTGGGCTCAGCATTCAGCAAAGCACGTTTTGCTTTGGCATCAGCAGACTGAAGCATTCATTTAAAATTCAGCTTTCCTAAGTGCTGTGCCAGCTTGAGCCGTGGAGCCGGGCTGCTGTGCGGCCCCAGAGCGTGCTGCTTTCTGGAAGTTCTGAATCGACAGAGCAAGGTTTGTGTAAACACACTTGCAGGAGCTCTTCAGCACAGGAATGTGGCCAAGCAGTGGTTTCCCAATCCCTGCGTTCTGTTTGTCACGACACGAGGGCTGCCTCCACCACGTGGCTCCTGTGTTCCCCAGCCCCACTCCTTCCTCCTGGCAGCTGGGCTGGGTGCTGGGCCTCATCCTGGCCTGCCCTGGTTGGGGGAGCACAGCATGGCTGGGGGCTGAGGGCACAGTGGAGCCAGGGTGCTGGCACACAGTTGGATACCTGCAGTACAACTGTGCACCTACAGTCTTTCTCTCAGTTTAACTAACCTGAAGTAAATCCCTGCAGACAAACAGCATGTTCACAGCTCACAGAGCGGCCCTACATCTGTCAGCTGGGATGGTTTTCTTCCATCTTCTGCAGCTGGCTTGGAAGAGCAGCACACAGAGCTGGCAACCAGCCCTGCAGGCTCAAGCTCACAGCCTGCAGGGCCAGAGCTGCTCCCACAGCCAGTTCAGACAGGATTCCAGTGCACAGTGCTTTCAGTCAGGCATCTTTTGCTGCCACTTGATGTAAAACTTGTAATTAATAACAGATTAAGACTAAGCCTGGAGTAAAGGCTGCCATTACGAACGGTGAATTCATGCAGTCGCAGTCACACAGGGCATCGTGAGGCTTCTCGGCTCTGTTGCAATATCTGCACTGACAGTAAGGTGTGTAACCAGTGATGCAGGAATTACAGCATCCTTCCAGACTATGACACAGAAATGTTTCTGCATGTCAGTTTGGAGAACTTCAGATTAATAGCCACAAAGTGCCAGGGCTGGAAGGAACATCTCCCTTTTGAAATCCTGTTGCCAATACTTCTATTTTGTTCCAGTTTTTTTGGTATGCTCTATAGGCAAATCTTCCAAATATTTACATAAGCCAAGCATTCTATATAGAGTTCTTTTGGACTAAATGTGATTGCTTACCTCTGTGAAGATACATGTCCTGTGGAAGCATCTATTTTGGGCTGAACGTTGGAAAAAAGTAGCAGTATCTGCCAGCCAGACATTTTATATATGTATGTACAAATATATTTTCTCTCTCTAAATATACACACACACGTATGATGGTTATTTTAGGTCCTGAGAGAAAAAGAAAGGATATTCTACTGAATTCCACACGAAAGAACACCCAGTGAGATAAAAACAGCAGCATGGTGAGTACATCTTACAGCATAAATTCGACCCAAACCAATTGTTTCTAGCAGAATCAGTTACAGCATTAAAATTGCAGAGTTTTAGACACGTGGATGTGAGGCCCATTTTTCAGCTTCTGGGAAGCATCCTCCCAGCAGCACAACTATGAGCCCTGTTGGCTGCAGGGAGGAGGGAGGCAGAGGAGCTGATTGCTGATGCTTCCTCTTGTTGTCTTCCATCAGTGAGTACAGAATTGGTGATAGGTGCCAGCTTGCTCAGGGCACAACTGAGATCCTCTTCAGTGAGGTGCCTCCCCCTCAGCTGAGCTGCAGTACCTGCTTGGGTGACTCAGCAAGTGTGTTCACCTTAATTGTGCTGAAAATTAAGGACACATGTGAACAGCTGCTGTGGCTCAGCTGCAGTATGACAAATTCTTAAGCACGACTACTTGATCAAGGCACAAGCCCACAACTATGCATAAATTGCATTTGTATCCATTATAAACTCACCATTCCAGAACCACACCCAATTACCCTCCAGGTCTTCAAAGAGGAGGATTTTTTAAATGATGATGATTGTTTTTAAAGAAAGAATCTACTGTTTTAGAAAGGATCAAGAGAAGGATCACTGATGTGGAGCTGTTATTCTGCAGGATGGGGCTGAAAGCAGCCCCCAGGACTACCACTTTATGCACGTCCCCTTTCACTTAATTACTTCCAACGTGTTTTTGCAGTTTGAGAGCGTGGCTGATGAAGCCTGCAGCAATGCCAGCTCGCTTTGCAAGGATCTCTCCAACCTTGTGACCTGGGCACACACACATGGCACCATATGCGTTCATATCCCAGCCCTGGAAACCGTGCAGAACGTGGGTCAGCCTCACCAGGAGAATTCTGTCGTGTGGATTTGTGGAGCTGGACATGCCTATCACTGGACGTGTGAAGATTTACACTTTGGAAGCAAGGAAGGGAACAAGGCTGCAGAAAAGAGAAGGAGGCAAACATCCTTTGGGGCTCCGTCACGAGGTGCTGCTGCAGGTGAAAGCAGGATCAGGATGGCCTCGTCTTTTGAAAGGCCTCCAAGAGACAGCGCTGCCATGGGATCACGTGGCCCTCAGCAAAAAGATTCTGTCTGCAAAATACGTAACGAACCAGCAGCCAGACCAATCCAAAGAAACTGCAAATCCATGCAACCAGGCTCTGCAGCAGAGCAGCATTTGTCAATGGCCATAGGCAAAATCAGAACGGACCCCCACGAGGTGAAGCTAGAATACAATGAAGATCTGCACATCATCTCTGATGATGAGCAGCATGCATTGAGTGCAGAAAACCAAGAAGAGAGAATCGACCAGAATGTTCTTTCATGGTCACCACCTGAAGATGTAACTGCTGAGGTGGGTTTGCAGATGTATCGTGATCTGAAGACAGAAATTAACAAGCAGGCAGTCACCTCTACGTCTGGCTTCACCCCCATGGCAACGCCTCCCCCACCTCTTTGCTGTATTCTAAAATCTCCTGGGAGGGATCGAAAGATCCTGGAAAGCAGCTTCTTGGGTGTGGGTCCCCTCAATCCCACAGTGTCTGAAAATTCAAGAGCGAGGGATTCTGCTGGGTCAGCAGCACCAAAAGAAGATTTAGAATCGATTCCTATCTCCGACACTGAAGGAAAAGCCCAGCCAGAGCCACCTGCCCCTGTGATGTTCTTTGAGCTTGAAGCCACAGTGGATGTCCAGCAGCAAATGCACCTGAGCTCTACTGAATGCAGCGTCTCAGGAACCTTGGACTTGAATGACAATGCCACCGAGGGCTCTGCAGAGGACAGCAGGCTGTCAGGCTCTGAGCAGGCCCCTCGTCCTTCAGCCTCACTGAGCCCACAAGGCAGGAATGCCACCCAACCTCTTGAATCTTCAAAAACCAGTAAGATGCCCTGGAGCTTTAATCACGGGAGGGTTTGTGGGCACCTTTCACTTTCCCAAGTAATTACAGGAGGGTGACTTCCTTTAGCTGGCAAAATGGGTATTGTAGCATCTAAATAAATGCGTCCTATTTAGGTCATGCCATTTCTACCAAAAGGGACTAAAAATATTCCTACACAGATAATGCCTTTTACTGAGATACCCAGATGTTGCCTTGGCTGTAGCTTTAACCCACTTTGAATATCTTGGTCTTTCATTTGGTATCACCATGCAGTATGTTGGCTGTACTTAAGACAGAATCCCTGTGAGAAACTGGAACCAGAGATGTGAACTCTGGTCTCACAGAAGGAAAAAAAGAATGAGGAAGTAACTTTTAAAGCAACAAAACAGAAATTTTGGCTGAAACTCTGGCTTAGCATAGATATGTGCTACACCGGAGCCTTGCTACCACATACCAGCTCCACATCATTTGATTGAATGATTAAACACCTCAAATAAAATGCAAATGCCCAGGTTTTTAAGGGCATTACAGTGAGCCACATCATTTGCATTGATAACTGTTTGCATGCCTGCAGGTGCTGTTCCATGTCAATCCATGTAAGCTGCTGGCTAGTCAGTTTCATGGCTTGGTTTTCTAGCAGCCAGGTGTAAGCACTGAGGCATCCATCTCTGCCCATGGACTGCTCACTAACAAAACAGAACAGGCAAAACACTGAGACAGCAGCACAGCAGAATCCACCTCCATCCAGTCACAGCATTTTATGATTGCTAAGCACATACAAAATAGCTCAGTGCCAGAAGAAGAACTTCTAGATGTTGGCTTAGAACCCTTTTTAATCTATCCTTTCTTCAGCCCTGGAAAAATCACAGGTGGGCAGATGGGGCTGTACAGCAACCCAAAGAACTAATGTCTCGTGCCATGTGGAACTTGTAGATGTGGTACTGCACAGCAACTTAGAAAGACCCCAGCTGGCTTCCCTTCCTTTAAACATATTATTCATCTTCTCTTCTTCCTTAGTATTCACCCCTAACTTTGGGTTCACGCTTTTATTTTACAGTGAGAGCTTTCCTGCCCTGAAGAGATTTCAGGGCAGAGGAAAGCTTTGAAATATGTCTTACATAATGAGGTTCAACATTTTCAATGTATGAACTGCAGGGCGCTCGGTCCTGAGGCAGATGACAGGATCCACATCCAGGCTGCCTCCCATTCATTTGAACAGAGCAGACTTTGGCCCCTGGGGTCACCACGAAACACAAGCCAGAGCAGTTGCAAATTGCTGAAAGCACACCAGGGCCATTTTGGCTTGTTTGAACTTTGTGGCTAATGCTGCAGCAGCAGGAGTGGAGCTGCTGGTTATGAGCATGGTTATGAGCATGGTTATGACCTCAAAGTCAGCCAGGGCAAAATTCAGTCCCTTACCGACAGAAAGACAAGCCAGCAATGACAATTACAGCTCCCAATAATTCTCTCCTAATTAAAACATGATTCAAAAAGAAAATACCTTGCAGTTATCTGGATGGCAGCATGCAGATTCACCATTTAAGTGAGGAAGAGAAGACAGGCTGTCCTTCCACGTCCAGACGAGTGCTACAGAGCGGTGTGGGCAAGTCAGAACCAAAGCTTTAACGGAGAGGCTTTGTGACTGCCTGATTTTTAAAGGGAAGGGGAACATTATTCTGCATCTCTTTCTGTTTCACTGATCTCCTCGCTAGTTGTCACTGATCACAAAGCTCTTTCTTATCTTTTAGATGTGCTGAGCAAGAGAAACCGCAGTGCTGCCAGCATCAAAGTTTTCCGAGAGTGGCTGGATGTGCGCTGCCCTTCTGAGACACGTGAGATCCATAAGCTGCCACCCAAAGACCTTGATCATTACCTGGCCTTGTTCTACACGTCTGCAAAGAAACAGAACGGCATGGATTTCTCCCCTGGGTCTTTGCGTTTCTTTCAGAGCAGCATTGACAAGTACCTGATGAAGCACGGTTATGAGTACAGCGTGCTGAAAGGACCCGAATTCAGGGCATCTCAGAAGCCTTGAAACAGAAGCACCAGTTTCTGTCTCAAAGAGAGAGAGAGGAAAAGTGGGCTCTTCTGGAGAACCTGACAGATGAGCACGTGGATAACCTCTGTAAGAAGGGGCTGTTAAGTCAGACCGACCCACAGGGCTTTCTGCACCTGATGTTTGTAAATATCATTAGGGGGTTTGGGGCGAGCACACACAACCAGGGCCACAATCTGTACTGGGGGCAGCTGGTGCTCAGAAGGAACGTGGCAGGGCTGGAGTACCTGGAGTGGAAGCACGACCTCAATGCAGAGGAAGCCTCAGGGCCATCGGCTCCACTTCTCTTTGCCAGACCCAACGACCCCAAAAGCTGCCCAGTCCAAGCTTATAAGAAGTATGCAGAGAGGAGGCCGGGGGACATGCTGCACGATTATGACCCGCTGTATCTCTCCCCCAGACACATGTGCTCCATGTGGGACCAAGTGTGGTACAGCAGGAAATCGCTGACCAAGGCCAAAATGGGGAAGATGCTGAAAGTCATTCTCCAGCAAGTCAAAGCGTCTGAAAAGAAGCTCAGGAAATAAAGGCGTCCACTTAATTTCTGCTGGAAAGGAGCGTGTTCTGAAGTTGGGTTTGAGAAGTTTTAATAGCAATGTTTAGCAAAGGTTGAACATCCATCCCTTAGAACACAACGCCTACAGGTTTGCACTGCTTTCATTCTCAGGTGAAGTGAAAATCTGTTGTTCTACAAACAGCACTGATAATTCAGTTAGTTAGAAAAGAGGTGTGAAGTTTTCGTGTTTGCACAAAGTCAGTGTTCTGCAGTTATTAGTGATGTGATAGAAAGCTGGCATTAACTGAGATAGGGCTCGTTAGCTGACACAATCGACTTCCTCAGCTGTTCAGTTGCCATTCATTCAATATATTCTCTCCCAGTCCAGGCAAGTTGTTGGATTGAATTGTTGATGCACTCGAATAAAACAGTTTTCTTGACATTGTTTGCCTGTCCTAAAACAGCAGAACAAAACAAGAAGATGCCGACAGATCAGCCTTTCATTTCCCCTGTGCTGATCTGTTCAGTCCACAGCCCAAAGCTGGCTCATGGGAGGCTGACACCCCACAAACCAGGTGGCACCACCCCTCAGCAGAGCCCTTCTCACAATCACACCGCTGTCTTTTGCTTCCCTGGGCCACCGTGAGGAAAAAAAACCCCAAACCACATAAAAAGCCAACAAGCTGGTGGGGCTGGGGGTCCCTTCCCACCCCCCTGCTGTGGTTCTGGGATTGCCAGGCTCAGAGAGCAGGAATGTGGGTGCTGAGCAGCCCTTCCAAAGGAAGTGACTGCTGAAGGCTTCTGCAAAACTGCTTTCTTTTCCCTTTTTTTATAGGGGGGATTTCAACCCACCCCCCTCCACTGTCGGTTCTGAGACCGAAAGGGGAAGCAGCAGAAGGGAACCGTGCTGCACCCGTGAGCAAAGTGCAGCAGTGCTTTCCTGCAAGCAGGAGGGGAGTCCTGCAAAGCTGCTGCCCTGGGGAGCAGCACGGCGTCCACGCGGGCCCCCAGCACTGCCAGACACACAGACTGCACCAAGTGAGAGTGACAACTTTAATAAATTAGCAATATAAACAGCATTGTGTCATCTATGGCTGTGCCTCAGCAGATCAACGACTCGATCAGAAGCCTCGATTTCCCCTCAGTGTTGCACATCAGCCCCGGGGCTTTCCTGGGTGTTGCCTGAAAGCCTAAAACCACTCCAAAACAAAACATTTATTTTTATAAGCCACAAACACAGCTTGCAATGAGAAGGACCTTCAATCACCGTATGATTTCTCTCCGTCCAGCCGCCTCCTTGCAGAAGTAATTAAAACAAAATGATCAGCCTTTAAACAAAATGATCAGCGTCCCCTCCTTTAAATAAAGACAAACTATTGCTTCACCTCGAAGGGAAAAAGGTGAAAGCAATTCGGATGTCGAACGGATCGGATCAGCCGCTGGGATCTGCGCAGCCCCCCCTCCCCCCGTTCAGTCGCTGTCGGTGCTCAGCTGCCCGCTCTCCCAGCGCTGCCCCATAGCGCTCTGATGCCGCACCACCCGCGTGCTCTCCACCACCTGCGGAAACAGAACGCTTTTATTAAATGAAGAAGCTCTTGATTATTATTATTATTATTAATTAGTTATTTGAACAGACGCCCCGCTCGCAACCAACGCTCCCAGCCCCGCGCTCCGCTGCCCCCCCCCGGCGGCTGCGGGACGAGCAGGGCCGGACTCAGCCTTCAGCCCCGCACCGCATCGTGCGGCACAGCCCCCCCCGGAGCCCCAGCACAGACAGGGCCGTACCTCCGTGTTGATTCTGTCAATGGGTTCGATGCCCGCGTACTGAGAAAAGTGAGAAACAAAAGTTCAGCGCATCCTAGGAAAAGAGGGAAGCGCCTTTCACACCACCGGGGCGCTCCCACCCCCACGTCTCACCTTGCCCTCCTCCTTCGTTCTCCTCCTCCTCTCTTCCGACGGGCTGCACCGCAACGAATCGGGGCCGGAGCTCTCGGAGCAGCTCAGCCTCAATGGGGTGAAGGACGAGACCAGGCCCAGAACGCCCGGCTGCTGCGGGGCCAGGACCGGCGAGCTGGACACCGAGTAAGTGCCGCTGGTACCCGAGGCGGCTGCGGACAGAGAGAAAGAAAGAGACGCTGCGTGCGGAGCTCCGCGTCGTCCCTCCCTGCCCCTACAGCTGACGGCTCGCTGCCCGCAGCCCCGCACTCCGACGTGCCGTCCTGGCGCTGCGGGACGCGGCACGGTGCGCTCCGGTCCCCAAACGGACACCATCAGACTCGATGAACGCGGTCAGCCCTGCTCTTACCCGAGCTGTGCCTCGAACGGGAGCTCTCCCTGGACGTGCCGTCCTCGCCGTCCATCAACCGCCTCCTCCGCTGCTCCTGCAGCTCCTCCTCTCGCTGCAGATCGCGGAGGATCTCCTTGTCGATCAACGCCGAGCGCTGCGGTCTCCACGTGCGCAGGGTGTACTGCTCATCCCGGCCGTGCTCACCGTCGGGGCTCCGCTCCCTTCTCGCTGCGCTCCGCGTGCCCATAGAGTCGGAGACGGAGATGCGGGGCTGCCAGAAGCTGAGGGCGAAATGCTCTTTGCGCAGGACGGGGCTCGGGGTGGAGCCGGGCAGCTTTCCTCCCGCGGAATCCTCCCTCGCCCTCGTGCCGGCGGAAGAGCGCTCGTACAGCCAGAGCTCATCCCGGCCCCGTTGGTGCGGAGGGGTCGCAGCGGGGCTGGAGAAGGCCTTCCCGTTGCGGGTGCCGTTGCTAAAGCCGTCTCCGGGGCTCCGAGGCCGCTCGGTCACCTGGCGGCTGGAGGACGGCGGCTGCTCCTCCTGCTCGAAAACCCTCCGCAGCTCGCCCAGCTCCTGCGACGTGCCGCGGTCGTAGAGCCCCGGCAGCCTGCCCTGCCTCCGCAGGTCTTCCTCACGTTTTGTTTCCTTTTCTATTTCCTTCTGGACGTTAAAGGATGCGCGGCCTTTGTCCTTCCCTTTCCTTCCCTGAGCTGGGGCCGCGTTCAGGGACAGCAGTGGTTTGGTCTGGATCTCCACCAGCTCGCTGCTGGACGTCAGCCTCTGCATGCCCCGCTCCTTCCATAGGCTCTCCTCCCTCTCCATTGCCCGCCGGATCTCCCTCTCGATGGGCGTCTCGCCGCTGCCCTCCTCTGAGCCCCTAGCATCCTTTACATCCCCGAGGCCATTCGGGACATCGCTGCCATTGCTGCTGTATCCAGCACTGTACATCTCCCCCAGCCCCGAGTCCAGGTCGTCCCTGGACGATGCTCTGGCCAGGCCAGGTGCTTTCCCTGTGGGATGTGACACGTTGGTGTTACCCTTCCCACGGGCATAGCCATCCTCCTTCCCTGAGGCCTGGTGCTGCACGCTGTACACCGTGTAGATGCTCTGGTCCATCCTGCCCTGTGTGGGCTCTATGGTGTCACCACGGCCCCTCTCAGCCCTCGTGGTGGTGTCAGGGCTGTGCCACTCCTGCCTGGAGGTTCTGACCATCACCTCCGGCCTCGGGGACGTGACGTACCCTGGACTGAACAAAGCACCAGGGCTGCTCTTCTCCAGCATGAGGAACTGCTGCCGCGCAGCCGAGAAGTTGATCTGCTCCCTGTCGATGCTCTCCGGGTCCACGGTTGTCACAGCCCGGCCCGGGGAGGGCTTATCAAAGTGGATGGCAAAGGCACCGGGGACGCCGTGGCTTTGCCCACCTGCGGTGACGGAGCTCAGCTCATCCGCGGAGCTCCACTTCTCAGCCATAGTGGAGCTCTTCCGCACCACTTGGCCCCGGATCACCTCCCTCCTCTTGTCCTCCAGCTCCTTTGCTTTTTCGGGGGAGATGTTTGGGGGTTGCAGCCTATATGGGTCTGGCTCATCATCCTCGTACAGCTTGGAGGGCTTCCTCTCGCCCCTGTAAGCCCTCAGGTCATACAGGTTCCCTGACCGCACCACCTCCAGCTGGGACTCCCTGTCTGGGGATGGGTTCCACACATCCTTCCCAGTCTCCAGGAAATACGAAGGTGACTTCAGCCTGCTTTTCTGCTCGTAGCCGTTCTCCTTCTGGCTGCTGTAGTCAAATATATCGTCGTCTCCATCCATGGATGCATCGTTGTGGTCGCGTGTGTGCGGGAACTGGAAGACCATGTGCCGGGTGACCCTGTCCATTGCGTGGCCGCTGTCAGCATCCAACGCTTTGCTGAGCTCTTCCTGGGGCTGCGTGGGCTCTGCGCTC